GGAAGTAACGGGAGGACATTTGAGACATACATGTTCACAGGACCAAAGGCAAGCATGAAGGAGATTGATGAGAGGCAGTTATGGGAGGCAGGGAAGGTGAAAGCTCTCTTGGGTCCCAGGTATGATGGCTCAGATGTGCTAAGTAAGGCATGAAAGGGGAGATGTTGGATTTTTAAGGATGGAGGACCGGAAGGGCTAATCTGACAAGGAAACAAAGGAGCCTGACACTGGCAGACTCTCCACTGGGAGACGAGGGAGATGAGTGGAACAGAGAGCAGTGAGGGGACAAAGCAGCAACTAAAACCAAGGTTATGATGATCTCTGAAAAGGCAGCCGGTGCCTTCAAGCCTTTGAGCTGCAGTTTACCTAAAGCACACAGAGAAACGAGCATCCCTTTCCTCTCTCTGGACACTGGTGCAGAAAATGGGCTGTGATGCAGCAGAGGGTTTAGCTAAAGATTCTTTAAGTTTGGAGCAGGTATGAGGGCAGTGGGGAAATTTCCTGGTCTAGTAACTTTTAGGTTTGATAGGTTCTTGGAGATTAGGGTAAGCAGGCTGGTCTGAACCTTGAAGTTGGTGACTGGGATTCAACACTCCCAGCCTGGGACTGAGTCTCCCAGTCTTGTTACGCCTGTGAGGACATATCCTGTGTACTTGACTGAAGGTTCTCCCACTGGCTCCCAAGTTCAAGCTCTCTAACCCCCTCAAGATCACACCAAGGTCATTCCCTGCTGACCTGGTAAGTGGTCTCTTATCATTCATGGTGATCAGGACATTGCAAGTCATGTTCAGATAACATAGGAATTTAAAATAGTCAAATGGCAGAAAGTTTCATGCAAAAGGGGCTCTAAATTATTTTTTAGTACAAAAAAAAAAGTTCTTTATTTTGCCTAAAATCTCTTCATCTATAACTTAATCTTGTTTCGTCCTGTAACTGGTGTCAGCCAACCTGTCAAAATCATACTCAGGTGTCTGGACATGGTTAACATATTATTAACCGGGGGATTTTTGCAAAAAACGAATGCCTGTGGTTGGTGATTTGTTATGTAAGTGAATATTGAAATGTCTCCAGTCAATAACATTTGGGTAACAAACTCATATTAATACATCTCTGGTTAGTAATGAGTTAAGAGCCTTGTGCTATAGCATCTGTTTTTAATTACTAATAGGCATGAATATCCTCTTGTTAATACTATTCCTCAAAAACCCTGCTTCTAAATCATCACTTGGAAGTTGCAAAAAGTATCAAGTTCTCACTCCAGACCTGCTCCATCACAGATCCTGGGCATGCAACCTTGTGACCCATGTTTTACACAACCCTCCGGATGATGGTGATGCAAGCTCAAGTTTGAGAGTCACTGTTCTAAAATGCACAGCAAAGGGTTAAGAGCACCTGACCAATATTAAGCAGAGTGGACGAGCTCATTCTGGCTCTTCCATCCTCTAATTAACATGTCAGGACTCTCTCCTAGAAAAACAACATAAAGGCCTTAACATTTTGGAGATGGAGGACAGTGAAAGACATGTTTATTGAGTGCCTTGAATTTGCCAGCCACTGGCTTTACACACATGATCCCACTTAACCCTTAAAATAATACGAGGTAAAATAATAATTTTACCAGATAGGAAACCGAACTCAAAGCTATTAGGTAATTTACCTAAAGACACAGCTGCTACATAATGGATTGGGTCTGCGCGCATCCTCAGTTATGTCTGACTCTACGACCCTTTCTTTTGGACGGCAGCATGCCAGGCTCCTCTGTCCATGTGATTTTCCAGGCAAGAATACTGGAGTTGGTTGCCATTTCTTCCTCTAGGGGATCTCCCCGACCTAGGGATTGAACCCACGTCTCCTGCATCTCCTGTATTGCAGGTGGATTCTTTAATGCTGAGCCATCAGAGAAACCCAGATGGGATTTGGTCCAAGTCAAATGTATTTATCAGAGTATGTTGATTCCTTATAGACAGCTCAGTAGTGGCGTAATTCACACAGGGAAAAGGTAACCAATAATACTGTGCTATTATTCTTTTAAAATAACACAGCTCATCTTTAACAATGCCCAAGTCTTTACTGTTTAAGCACATTTCTGACCAAAGTGGGCCACTTTAATCTCAATTTTGCACATTCTGGGGAGACAGCACCAGGTAGCACAGATCACACAGGTCTACTGTGTGACCATGATCTGTTCAGGTCACTGTTCACTGTTAACTAGAGGCAAATGGCTTAAGCTTGCTGGGCCCATTTCTTTTGCTCTTGTGTTACCATTTATATCTCCATCTCCAGAGTTAGTAATCCAACCCAACCCAATCTGTTTACCACCTGCAGCAGATTCAAGAGCACAACCAACAGGCTCCTCCAGTCAGCTCACGGATGAGGATCCTCCATCAATGTAGGTCAATGGCGCTTTCTCCCAGAAACCGGCAAGCCACACCCAAGCCCTTCAGAAACAACGGGTAAACCCTCTAAACCAGGTAAAACAAAACAAACAACCCTCCCCCCCTAGTTTTCACTTGCTAATTAGGGTATCCTGTGGCATCCAGTCTTAGCCTGTCTTGTAATTCTAGAGTCTGTAGAACTGTCGAACCAAAAAAAGGAAGAAGCTCTGTCTGCTGTCAATTAGCTGCACCACTGGAGAGGAACAGTGGCATGGCAGATATTAAAAATTTGGTTCCATTTGGCTTTGGAATGCATTATGATTTTTTCAGTAGATTAACTTTCCTAATTATATTTTGCACAGTCTAATATTAACAGGCATTCATATTCCCTGAGCATATAACATCTAACATTGAGAGCTGGGAGACGCAGTAGACGAGTCCAAAAATGTGTTGGTCTCAGGGAATGACAATGTTGGTATGGAAAAATCCACATATGGATAATGAAGAGGGAACTAATTATAAAGTCCTCTGCAAACATTAAATCATAAGCAGAAGAGGCAAATCAGAATTCTCTATGGATATGTGAATAGAGAATCAAGAAAACTTCTTAAAATTCTAAAAGGGACAAACTTTCAAGAATCATCTTGGGTGATATGGAGTCTGATGGAAAAATAAGGATACAAGGAGGGTCAGTGAGATATACTGGGTGGTCTTTCAAATAAGAATACCTCAAGCAATAATACCAAAGCATTTTAAAAGAGCATTTAAAATGATTTTTATTATTTGAATTTTACAAGTAGTCTTTAAAGGCTTCAAACAAGAACTCTGTTGCAAAACTCTAATAAATAGCTTGCCCCAAGTCCCCAAACAAAATGTGAGACAAAATAGAAACTAAACTCAGAAGGATAAGCAAGACTTCAGAATGCTTGGATGTTAGTGCTATTTCTCATTTACAAAGAGATATCAGGCAATGTACAATCTCCTTCATACAAGTCAAAGAGCGAAAGAGACAGACAATTGAGATCTTTACAAAGCACTCCGAAATCTTCCTATTTCCATGAGAGAAATGTCACCAGAAAGAAAAAACCTCATGAAGAAGTCACAATTATGAATGAAATTGTAGCATAAGTCTGGTGATGTGGGTTGGGGGAGAAGAGGGGAACTCCACCCCATTTTTTTTCAGGGATGGAGAGAGGAATGGGTGGAGATTATTTGGGGCAGGGAACTTCCAAGCAGATACCGCTGGATTGCTGAACATTCCCTTAGACCAGAGGCACCACTGAAGGGCGCAGGTGACAATTTGGTGACAACTGTGAAGGCAAGAAACAAGGCCACCAAGGGCTCCCCTGGGGCCTCTCAACACTAGTGACCCAGTGTCTCTGTTGTGTGCAGGACCAAGAGCCTTGGAACAATGGCCAGGGGCCCAAAGCAGCTGCATCACTAGACAAGAAAAGTAGCACATTAATCATTTCTGCAGCAGAATCCTGTAGCTGGCCACACAAAGATGCAGGAAATGTTGGGCAGAAATTGTACACTGGGACATGCAGGTCTCAAAAGGCCATTCCATCACCACAGTCATTGCTCCTAACAAGTAAGTATTAAAGTTCACAATTCAACATTCATTTTTTTCCTAGTTACAAATAGTGGTAAAGTCTTGCTTTGGAGAGAAGGATTTACTAATTCATCGTAAGATCATTTTGAATGAGCTAAAAATACAATTTTGCCACATTGGTAACTTTAAAAATCTCAAACAAAAACTATCCTTTTGACCAAAATGCATACAAATCTTATGATTTTTTTTAGTTTGGAGGAATTCTAAAACACCAGTTACTGTTTGGACACAGGAAGCGACAGAAAGGCTGATTCCAATACAGAGGGACTCACTTATGCCAAACGAAGGGCTCCAGCTCAGAGGAGCACACAGCACCTGGGACCATTTTCCCAGGGAAAGGTAGGAGGAAGCAGTGACGTCATAATGCAAGATGGAAAAGGGGTGTGGCCCGCAGGCTCCGTCTCTGCCTGTCTCTGGTTCACTGATTTGTTAAGTAACCCCAATCCTGCTAATCTCCGTAAGACAGGGACAGACATCACTAGCTCATGCACAAGGCATTTGAGGGAGGCAGGCATTTTCTGAAAGCACCTCCCTCCCCCAGCATTTTTAGGAACGGTAAGGAAATCCCCCTCCCCAAATAAGCAGTTTTTAAAAACTTATTTTCCTAGGAACAATGACATTTGTCAGGATAACAAAGGAAAACTTGGGTTACCTGAAACAGATAAGAAAGAGCTGATGGAAATGGAGGCAGATGGGCCGGGGGTGGGGGTGGGGGGTGTGGGGAGGGTCCTAGGCCCAGCTTCTTTTTAAATACATAACAGATAAAGATATTGTGCAAAAAAATAAAGACATTCACATTTTAGCAGTTAAACTTTTATTTTACCTTTTTAAAATTTTTATTTACCTTTTTCATTTTCTTTTCTACAAAAGGCAGATAATGATTGTTGATCTGCAATTGTCAGGTTGTGCACTCCCCAAAAGGGGGCAAAGTCAGAAGCTGGGGCGGGAGCTCAGAGGAATGCCTCCAACAGCGGGACTAAGGGGAAGGAAACCCCGAGGCTGCCTCTTCCGGCCTAGCTCATGTCGATGGTGTTGAAGACCCACTCTGTGAACTTCTTCAGCTTGTCGGAGGCATTCTGGGACTCCTCCTGCAGCCTCAGGTTGTCCTCCCGCAAGTGCTGAACCTCCGCCTGAAGGTGAGCTTTGTCTTCTTTTTCCTGGGAGGGTGAGCAAGCAGGAGAACTAAGAGGGGGGGTCCCACTCTGCCCAGCCGCCAGGCGTGGCTGTGGATCTGTGTGCACCCTTCACTCCACTAAACAGCTGTCACAGGGCCTGGCGTTGGATCTTAATTATTGACTGGCGGATTTCTGCAGGAACTAAAGCCTATGGCTGGCAATTTTTATATTGGCTGGCCCAAAATTATTTCACTGACATTCTGCAGGTTATTACATTCAATAGTTACACCTGACACACCTCTAAAGTCTTCTCCAGCACTGTGGGTTTCATTTTCACGTTCCATATCAGAATCAATCACTAAGGTGTTTTGTCTTTTTGCTGGTCTCATAGGCACATCGTCTGAATCAGAACTATATTTTGAAGAACTATTATCTTCTGAGACCCTAGTATATATGTCGCTAGGACAATCAGAAAGTATCGGCATTATGGAAATAAACTTGCATTTATAATATACACAAAGTTGGAGCAAAATGTGAATGGTAATGACAATCATAACTTGTATACAGTGATGTTAACTATATCACTCTAAAAGATGCTGACACATCTCCGGTCAATAATATGTTAAGATGTCCTCACCCAGCGAACAGGACTTCCAGAGACAGTTACTACAGGTTTATTTTGGAATGTAAATACATGAGTGCATAGTTTAATGTCTGTTAAGTTATAAGGGCTGTCTTACATTCTAGGTGATTGATCTAGGGGCTGCTGTCTTAATAATATAAAGTCACTCAAGAAACTAACAGCAACTGGTTCTTTTGGTGCAAGAGCCTGAATAACACTGAGGATGTGTGTGTGCATCTGGGTTGTGGATCAGGGGTGAGGAGACTGGGATAGGGCCCAGAGGGGGCTGGCTGAGGTTTAAAGGCATTTTACAAAAAACGGGAATGCTCTTTCTGTATACACATGACAATGAAAGCCTTCTTGCACTATGCGTGTCAGTGGGAACCAAGCTCCAAGCAGACTCCTAAAACGTGTGTATTGAGAAAGCAGGGAGAATGCCCACAACTTATTCCCCCGACACTGTTGACAAAGGGCTCTCAGTTCAAGGCAGCTTGCGTGGACAGGATAACCTGCTTGGAGAACACGTTTACCTTCTTCAGGTCTTCTCGAAGCATCTTCAGCATACCTTCCAGCTGGTCCACTTTAGAAGCCAGAGTGGGAGAGGAATCTTTACTGCAGGGAACAAGAGACAAGGTGGTTCTTTTCTTTTTTAAAGGAGTTGGCTGTATTTATAAAACGGTTTTCAATGTCAAATTACTCAGTATGGTGACACAATGTACATTTTCATTTTTAAAAAGAAATGGCAGTTTTAACAAAAGGTAACATAGGCGTGAACTATAGCCAATCAATAGCTTCCTTAAAGATTCTGGATCTTTGTGACAAAAAGAATATGGGATAATAAGTGAAAATGGTCTCTTTGGCAGCGTAAGAGGGGCTTTCTGACAGATACAGCTGTCAAACAGTGAAATGAGTCTCTCTTTAGTGGCTTTAAGAAGAGAGTCACTCCTCCATGTGTACCTGCTGGGTGGGGCAGGGTCAGTACAGGCCCTATCTTGGGGCCACTCCACCCAGCGGCAGCTGTTATTGCGTCCATCTCTTAAGACTAAATCTTTCAGAAGTTTGTCATATGTATGTATGCTCAACTGATCAGTTGTGTTGACTCTGCGATCCCATGGACTGTAGCCCTCCAGGCTCCTCCGTTCATAGGATTTTCCCAGGCAAGAATACCAGTGTGGGCTGCCACTCCCTCCTCCAGGGGATTTGCTCCACCCAGGGTTCGAACCTGGGTCTCCTGCACTGGCAGGCGAATTCTTTACTACTAATGTCTTAAGCTCTTCACTATTATGATCAGCAAACTCTTAAGGCTCACGATTTCCCCCCATTTCATTTTAGCGCTAACAATGCCAAGCCATTGAGCACCAACAGGAGAGACTAGAGGAAAAGAAACATGTGTAACTGGCTGGACAGACCACACAGCTGGGCAAGGGCCGGAGACCTAGCGACTCTTCTCTACTTGAATTCAAGCCTCTGAAAGTTTCTGGGTGAATTCTAGCCAGAAACACCACCTCGGTCTCCCACAACCAAGAATCTGAAGGCTCCCATGGAGACAACACGCAGATGACTCTTTCCAGAGGTCAAAGAGGGAAGACGTGATGACTGAATGAACTCTTGGCATCATGAAATATAAGGTACTTTTGTTTTTTAATTTAAAAAAGGTTTTTTTTTAACACCAAAAACATTCCATGCCACCATGCGCCTGTTGTAGATCTAGAATTAGCAGAAGACATGGACAGAGCTTATTTAAAGTAAATTTACTTTAAAAATCAAAAGTTCAAGTTAGAATTCCCTGACCTAAAATAAGCTGTGTCCATGTCTTCTGCTTATTCTAGATCAGCAGGCCCAGCACAGATGTCACAAAGCTGTGAATAAAATGGAATGATAATGACCTCCCAACTTCTAAGGCAGGATGACCAATTAAAAGCTGACAGTGAATGGATTTTAAAAGGGAAGTGGTCAGCTGCAATCCACAACCTCAAAAGCCGGTCAGGTTTGGATGTGTTGAAGGCTAAAGATGTGATAGAGTTAAGAGTGGTTCCGAACAGAAAACTATGAGGCTGGGGACATGGCTATCCTTCACAAGCCGTTGAGTCCACTGTCCCTGTCTTGGCAGGGCTGATGCAGCCACGGTAGGTTGTCAGTAGCTCTCAGTAGCCTATCTTGACTTCTGAAGGTTTGCAAAGATCAGTACAGTCACAGACACAGAACTAATCATCTTTAAAAACATTTAACTCCATTTGCATCTGCTCACCCACACTGAACAAAGACCCAGTCGTCATCCTCATCTTAGGCGTCTATAGACCCCACAAAGATTTAAGAACTGTTTAATGACCCTTTCTCATGAGAACAGTCTTTGCTCACTTAGACTCTCTTCATCCTAAGGGACATGTGGGGCTCTCCTCTCGACGCTGTACATTTTTTTAAAAAGTTCTCAACAGCCAAACTAACCACCATTTTACCTCCCTAACTGTCCCAACAACAGGATAAATGCAGCATCTGTCTGTTACACTCACAACAAAAGATCCATTATGACACCTTCTCCGTGAAGAGGGTTTCCTCACAGACTTGCTTAAGAAGTCTTCAGGCACAAGCCCCCAGGATATTTGTGCAATCTATGCCAACCTCGTTTTTCCTGTTACTGGCTGTTTCTAACCAAGTCTTATAGATCCTGGATTCCTGTTGTTTAGTCACCAAGTTGTGTCTGACTCTTTGTGACACAAAGAACTGTAGCCCACCAGGCTCCTCTGTCCCTGGGATTTCCCAAGCAAGAATACTGGGGTGGGTTGCCATTTCTTTCTCCAGGGGATCTTCCCAACCCAGGGATAGAACCCGTGTCTCCTGCTTATCAGACGAAATATTTACCACTGAGCCACCTGGGAAGCCCACACCTGGATTCTTAATCATCCTCAAAAGGTTTTAAGAGATTGCAAACTGATGAAATCATTCTGCATCAAGGGGAGGCTTATTATGACTGTTGGGATGCTTTTATATATAGAAATATCACACATCCAACAGCCTCACCATTTGAAAACTGACGGGAAAGTGAAAAAGTCAACCTCTACATAGTTAGGAGAAGCCAGAGTCCATATTAATTCAGCTATGGCTTTTCTTACTTATTTTACATAAATCTTACTGATCCTGGTGACCCACTTCTAGTGTAGGTCTAAAGCAGAATGTTGGGAGTCGCTAAGATGCAGGCTCATTTACAAGCATGACTACTGACAGCTTCAAAATGGACAGACTCAAAGACTAAACACATAGGAGCCCAAGGATATTTAGCACAAATGATTTCTCTTAATAAACCCTGAGGGCATAAATGTATTATGGCATTAAATAATGAATATTCATAATGATGACTTTAAATCATCAAGAACAGTTTAAAGGTGTTTAGAGTATTTGGTTACAAAGCATTCTGACTAAAAAGTGAAATGTCTGGCACTGCAGTGATGAGCTTCACTCAGCTAATCCGTGGGACCTCCACCGCCCCCTCCCCACACCTGCTCTCCGTCACTAGTGGAGGTGATACATGGTGTAGAGTGATACCCTCACCACCGGGTGACTAACCTGCTGTATGATTTCATCTGGACAAGGGCCTGGTCCTCAAGCTGGTCACTGTTGGATGCAGCACTCAGAGGCCGATGGTTTTCATCACTAGCAGCAAAGAACGAGGCTCTCTGGACTAGAAAGGAGAGGAGAAACCATTCAGCACTGTGGAACCACATCCTGGGTCCTCTCTATCAAAAGTCAAGAAATGACCGACATGCACAGTCAAACCTAATCACGGGGCAAGAATGCATTGGAAACTTTATTTTTCCCTTGTAGGAAATTTTTTTTTTTTTTGCTGTTTTAGCTGGAAGAGGATAGTAACATTATGATTTCTCTTTTAAAAATACTTGCTGTGACTTAAATTCTAGCTTTTCCCTTGCTTATAAAAGTTGCATTCTATTGTTTCCCTGGAAACAGGCCTTGTGCCAAATTTGCAGACCAATGCTTTCCACTCGGTGACAACACAAAATATATTAAAGAGCTAGTACAGTACTAAGCTTCTTGAGGCTTCTTGAAGTATGTTTTCTAAAAAGACTTCTGGCCACCTTGGTGGGCTTTAGCTTAGGTTCACACCACCTCTGTTTCAAAAAAACACTCACTTTAAGCCTGAGCCAAGAAACAAAATCAAGTTTTAAAAGAATCTTTCATTAAAAAACCAAAACTTCTTTGCAGCAACATGGATGGGCCTAGAGATTATTGTACTGGTTTTCCCAGGTGGCGCAAGTGGTAAGCAACTTGCCTGCCAATGCCGGAGACCTAAGAGACCTGTGTTCGATCCCTGGGTCAGGAAGATCCCTTGGAGGAGGGCATGGCAACCCACTCCAGTATTCTTGCCTGGAAAAATCCCACAGACAGGGAGCCTGGTGGGCTGCAGCCCATGGGGGTCACAAAGAGCCGGACATGACTGAGAAACTGACAACAATGATCTATGTCAACACAGACAGCATTACTGCGAGTTTTTTCTATTTCAGCAGATCAGGCCAGCACTTGTTTAATAAGGGCCTGCATTTAAGGGCCACTGGCTTAACGCAAGCACACAGCCAGTGGGCTGATGTAGGGATGAAGCAGGCGGGAAGTACACATGCCATCACTCCCTTGAAAGATGAGTGAGAAGGGCAGACGGGCCGGGGCCGGGACAAGCATCCTAAGAGATCCAGCTGTGCATTGAGCAATGATGTCTTCACGATGTGATGAAAAATGCTTCCTGGACATGTGCTATTTTCAGGTAAGTGACAGCTGGGATGCTGAGGCATCTGTTACGAATTCCCACTTAGAGGAAACCCTGGATTCCACCTGGTTCAGATCAACAGTGTGGGCCCTGAGTGTCTGAGAACTGCGAGCTCAACTGCTTTTTGGCTATGCATGTGTCGTCAGTGAGTCCTGAGCACTGATACTGCTCACGACGCGCACGTGGCCCAGCCGGGACCGTCTGCGGACTCACCCTCGTAGGCCTTGGCGGCGTCCACCAGGTTGGACCAATCCAAGTCCGCAGCAGCGTCGGGCAGGGGCATCAGGCCGGGGTCGGGCATGGGCGGCCTGCGGGTCTCCTGGACATCAGTGAGGGAGCTGTCCGAGGCCGAGAACTCTCCTGCAGGAAGGGATGAGGGATAAGAGGCTTCAGGCCCACTGGAGACCCACTCAAAGTTTTACCCATTTTCTGTGACCATAGTAGATAAGCCATTTGTCACCTGGAATCAGTTTCTAGTCTAACAGACCATTAGTGGTCATTCTAAAGCTGAGCAGAACTAGGAATTGACTTCCTCCAATCTTAATTCCTTTTTGTGTAACCTCCCAGTGGCCCATTTCTAATGGTGTGGGTCTGGGAAAAGTTAGTTCTGCACTGAGGCCATGTGTCTGCTTTTGCAGGAGCTGCTTGTATAACAGAGACCCAGGGCAGCTTCGGCACCTCACTTTTCCTCCCAGAGTCAAGGGATTCAGGCTGGGGTGAAGGGACCTACTTCATCAGAGTGTTGGATTTTGCAGCCAGGCCAGGGAGGCTTGGTGATGCATGTTTGAGGGGATCGTAAAGCCAATTTTTATCTGCCTTGGAACCTGGGATCTGACTCCCTCCATGTGGACTCTGCGTCCCTGGGACTGCTGAAGGACAGGCATATCCCTGGCTCGTGTCTGCCTTGCGTCCCAGGGATGGTCCACTGGTGTCTGCAGTTGGACGTATCCAGGGTAGTGTGAGAATCAAATGAGAGAACCTGAGAGAGGGTACTGGGTCGCTCAGTGGAGTTCACGCTGGTTCACTGGTGTTGGCATCCTTTCCCAAGGACGTGCTAAGCAACTCTTGGCATCGGTTTTCGATTTACAGCAGTCCAACATCCCAAACCCCTTCTAAGGTGGCAATATTTAAACACACAAACATTAACCTATAGTAACACCCAGTATCTGCTTAGCCTGGGGGTGGGCAGAAAGCGTGCAGTGAGCCCCTCCGTGCAGTGGAGGGCACACCGCCACTCTTCAGGTTCATACAGGTGGAGGAGACGGGCACAGAGCTCGGGAAGTGCAGATGCTCTCAATGGGGCAGAAGCTGTGAGGGCAGAGCGGGCGCCTCCATGGGAAGGGCCGCCTCACAATATGACCATGACACTGAAATCCACGCGGAGACAAAGGCGAGGCTCTCAGTTGAATTCTGTTAAGTGACTCTGGAAGTAACTGTTTACAAGGAGTTAAAAAGTTTTGCCAATCATGATAGTCTATAAACCAGAGTATATTTAGTGCTTGCTTTCCCTTGCAAATTACACAGAGGACTGCTCTGCAGTGCAGCTGCTAGTTATTAATGTGCTTAAAATTACCAAAATTATGAGAAAATCGAAATCATCTACTGCTTGATATTAAAGGCTCAGTTCTATTTAAACTTGCTCCCACCAAGGGTAAAGCTGGAATAATTTTTTAATTAAAAAAATATTGAAGTAAAGTTGATATAGAATGTTGCATTCATTTCTGGTGTGCAGCAAAGTGATTTTATATATATATATATATACACACACACACATTTTCAGATTCTTTGGAATAGACAGTTTTGTTATGTCACACACAATCCTGCTTTTTTTTTTTTTATCTCTGGGTCCTAAATTTCCATCTGGGAAAAAAAAAAGTTTCTCATTCCCCAAATGCATCTCAGTGGTGGTCACACCCATGACGTCAAGGACGGCAGCCCAAGGATCGCTCAGATTAGGGCATGGGGTCACTGAGGCTGCTGCCTAACTGTCAGGAAAGCAAGAGGAGGTGGCGGAAGGGGCTGCGGAGGCTGGGCTGCCCCTCCCCTCCCTCAGTGCCAGCCCTTCAACTCTGGGACAGGAAGGATGGGTGGGAGGCAGGTGTCTAGGCTGTCCTCTTAGCATGAGAGGCTTCTAGAGGACAGGGCCTACTGTGACATGATGCATGCAGATTAAAAACTTCCCAGAGGGCTTAATTTTATCACCATAAATGTTTAAAAAAAAAAGGAAGTGAAAGAAGCATTTGGCGTAGGCAGGAAGTTATATGAGGAATGGAGAGAAGGGGAGAAAATAAGGTTACTATTTAGGTCACCACACGGAGGCGCTTCCTAGTGTTCAGATGGTAAAAGTGGTCAGTTCATGTGTCTACCTTGGTTCATTCTCTAAAGCAAAGAGAAACCAGGGTCATGCTGTAGGTGGACCTCCTATAAAGAGGGAGGAGAGAGAAGCTGGTGTGATCCTTGAGTGATGTCTGCCCTGGAGAAGGGGACCGTGTGGGGAACAGGACTGAGATGAAGAGGAACAGTCATGGACGTGGGTTAGGGGTGCAGGAATGACGCAGGGAGAAAGCTAGCCAGGAAGGCAGGAGATTTAAAATCCTGCTCCAGTGCAAACTGTTACACATAGAACAGATACAAACAAGGTCCTACTCTATAGCACAGGGACTGTATTCAATGTTCTATGATAAACCATGATGGAATTTAAGAACATATGTATATAAAACAGAATCACTTTGCTATGTAGCAGAAATTAACACAATGTTGTAAATCAACTATACTCCAATAAATTTTTAAAAAAATGAAATTTTGTCATCTGCAATAACATGGATGAACATTGAGGGCACTGTGCCAATGAAAAAAGTCAAAGAAAGATAAATACTGTATGATCCATCGCACTTATGTATGGAATCTAAAAAAATGTGAGCTCATAGTCACAGAGAATAGATTGGTGGTTGCCAGAAGTAGGGGTGGGGGTAGTAGAAATTGCTGGAGGGAGTCAAAAGTACAGCTTTCCATAAAATAAGGAATTCATGGGGGTATAATCTGTAGCATGGTGACTACTGCTAATACTGTATTGCATATTTAAAAGCTACTAGAAAAGTAAATTAAAAAAATTTTTATCAGAAAGAAACTTTTGAAACTTTTTAAACTGTTAAATTTTTAAAACTTTTAAAAAAAACTTTTAGTTTAAAAACACTTTTAAACTATGTATGGTGGCAGACGTTAATCTTGTGATCATTTCGCAATATATACAAATATCAAATCATTGTGTGGGAGACCTGAAACTAATCCAAGATGAGTCTTGTGGTCTGGTGAGGCCCAGGGTTCATACCCTGTGGCTGGGATTCTAGGTGAGAGGCTGAATGGCGGGGTAGGGTCCCCAGATAATCTGAGCAAGCAAGCAGGACTTCCTCTAATTAGCATCCTTGAGCAAACTGAGTGGCAGGGGTTTTGGGGGACATGGGTCATCATCAGCAGGGCTGTTAGCTGCAGCTAGAGATAGGCTTACCGTGCAAGGACTTCATTCCCAGGGTGTATGAAGGCCTCCGCAAAGGAAGAGATGTGGGGAGGGAAGGGTACGTGCTACTGAAGAGGACGTCGTTGGGCAGGGCTTGGTCCAGAAGCGAAGCCCTCGAGGTGAAAAAGTGCTCCCTCTGGCCGCTGTAGATGCTCTCGTCGGACAGCGTTCTGTGCAAGGCCCGCCTTGACGTGGGGGTGGTGGGAAAGGGGGACTGAGGAGAGGAGAGTGCGTGGAACTGAAAAACAGCATCAGGACAGCAGAAATCAATTTTCTGGGTCACATACCCACGACCTGGGGTGTGGGATGCGTAGGTTAACAAAAATCACTCTCATAGACACAACCCTTCAAATCCTGGACCCTAGAAAGGAGGCCTCAGGGTCCACCATCTCTACATCCCCAAGGGCAAAACAGAGTTCCTGGTCGTCATAGCCTCATCGCCCAGCACGCTGGCTGCGGTCAAAGAGTGCTCAGTACAAGATTCAGATGTAGGATGAAGTGGTTTCATCACTATTGTGCCAAGGTTACAGCAAGACTTTAAGAATAGATAGATAACGGTTTTATTTGAATCCCATGTCACTGACCAAATCATGTTATCGCTCGGAACCCAATTCTTCATCTATGAAATGGGGGCACAAAAGCACTCAGGATTATTCTGAGGATTCCAAGAAATGCTGGACTGGTCACAATGGCATGCATCAGTGGTGTTCCAAAATTACGTATGGTCCCCAAGGAAACAGCCACGACGCCAGAAGGTATTCTAGGAAGCTTGTCAAGTGACACGTGTTTGCCAGGCAACAATAGCCTTTGATCGTCACAACACAGTCACTCAAATAATAGGTGACTCTTGAAAGCTCGAACGACTAATATTATTTTTAATGAGCTCAGGAGATTATTTTTTGAGATGGATTTCTATTGGTGAAATAAAAATAGGGAAGTTACCTTTATAAAAGACAAGTATATATAGTTATATAAAAATGACAAAAGCTCCGGATGGCTGTATCTCTTGTTAACGTCTTTTGCCTTTGTGACCAGATTTGACTTTTATTTGAGATTTTTGTGCAAACAGCAAGCTTCTGAGAAACCCATTCATGAAGGAAAAAACAGACATGTTAACAATGTTGAAATATCCAGCATCCTGCAAGCCAACAGAGTATGTGGTCTGTTAACAGAGTTATCCTTATTCAGTTCCTCTTAGTCGACTGTTCACCTTGGCAGGGAGGAGAATGTGGGGAACAGGTGAGGATGTGAGTAGGAGGGTTGAGTCACTGCTGGCAGGAAGCCACCGTGAAACTTTCCATGCCGCTTTGAAAGGACAGGGAGATAATGATACGGCAACGGCTCCATCTAGGAGGCTGAGAACAGAGCTGATGCTGAGACTCATTCAATGGGCTCTGGGGTCTAACACACTTCCATCCACCAAGCCAAGGGCTGATCAAGTCAAAGCTGTCCACAATGTGGCAGGCATAGCTGCAACATCCATATGAAAAAATTATTAATCAAATGCATTGTCAATGAGCTCCAAGTGTAGCTGATTGTGTTCACTTTTTAAAATTCATCATGAGTTAAACCCAAAGTACATATGTGCTTACCTTGAAAACTAAGCTGCTGTGATAAATGCTATGTGGGTCTTTAAGAGGGCAGGGACTTGGTATGGAAATGATGATTTCCTTTCTCACTACACCCACAAGAGTGGGCGTTAGAGAGGTTAAATAGATTGCCAATTGTAAATTAAAAGAGAAAGCAGACCATCTCGCTCCACCTGCCCAAGGTTCCAGAACTGTCACATAAAGCTCCTGCCTACCAGCTCAAATCTCAGATCTATTAAAAAACTGCTCTCCATCTTTTTTGGCACCTTTGGGTTTGGCCAAGGGATTTCCTTTTCCAGTGAATATCCCCACCCTGATAAATTTATAGAGGAGAGAATTTTCACCAGTTCTAATTTCAGCCTCTTTGAGAAATATTAACATACTTCAAGCTAAACAGCTACTTGAAGAGATCCTTTGGACAGCATGATTTATTAAGTTATAACAGCTTGCACTAAGGGAGGAGAGGGAAGGAAGCGGTCTGCCTAGATGCTTTCTATCTATTAAAAAATAGCAGGACTAGTCTGGTCCAAGCATATGCAATGGCTCCCACCCTCAGTCCCCTTCAATTCTAGCCTCAAAGGTGTGCGTACCTACCCAATTCCCTAGGGCACCCTCTGCCTTCCCTGGAGGTCATACTGAGATCACTGAGTGGTGCTGCCCCATGCTGCCAGCCCCCAGGAAAGAGCCAAAATGCAGGGGGTGGCAGACTCAGAAAGGATTTTAGAGAGCATCTAGGAAGGGGGATTTCAACTCTGTTTCAAGGAGCCCTAAGGGTTCCTCCTGGCATCACTGCCTGGGGAAATGAGGTGTTCAGGGGGCACCCAGGAGTCCAAGACACCCCACCCTTCCTATCGGAGAAGTTCTGCCATCTCAGTTCTATGTGCTGGGCTTCTGTGTGTAACTGTTAGTAGGAAACAAAAAGATTCTTAAACTTTAAAATCATTTGGGCACCACTGATTGAGTCTGATCGAGCCAGGCCTAGAGAGGTGGCCTCCTGCTTCAGAGTCCAGGTCCATCTCCTTCCTCTCCTCACTCTCTTCATGCACCCCGGCTCTCAACGAAATGGGCTGCTCTTGCACTTGGGATAAACAACAGTACCATCTCTTCCTAAACAGTAGGTCCCCGCGTGACACCCGTCCTTTGGTCTGTATCTGAGAGCGCTGGCTGGAGAGCAGGGCTCTTGGTTTGCACTACTGTTCTGTTCACTCGCTGGACTGCATTCAGCCCTCGGGGAGAATACGGCGATCCCAGCTCTGCCTGCCAATGAGGTTTCTCAGAATGGTACAGCTCTGCCATCTTCCTTGAGATACGAGTTTCACAGCAGCTGCCTGGAGGTTCCCAGACACCCACCTCCCAGCTGCAGCCTGCCCAGCAGAGTGTGGCCAAGTCCTGCAGCGGTCGTCTCCGTCTGCTGGCAGATGAGCCTGGGAACAATCTGTCACTTGATACTCATGGTGGCTCACAAGGAGCCCTTGCCAATCTGACGTGAGCGGGTCCCAAGGATCACTGCCCAGAGTGGGCTACTGAAGCCTGACGCAGTGGCTTGGAGCCCTGCGCCAGGCGCGGCGGGGCAGACCTCGCAAGGGAGCACTGGCCTCACTGACACAGCAGAAGCACGGTCACTCAGAGGAGTCTCAGAAGACACAGAGAGCTACTCAGCTGAACTCATCTGAAGCCAAATGAAAAAGGATGACACAAGAGAGAAAACAGAGCAGTTTTCCAGCTCCTGCTCCCAGCCTTTTCCCCATAATAGTTCAACCAGCAGAAGCACTTTCTTTGCAGAGGGTCTCATGGCAATATAGTCAACACATAAAGCATGTGCATTCCTGTTTCAAATAGGAATGTTAAAGTAATTCACTTTGGAAATAAAAGCCAAGACCTGGAATAAGGGCAAGACAGACATTTGCTTTCAATTATTTTCACTGCAGGAGTAAATCAAAAGAAAGAAAGCTCTGAGCTTGCCCCTTTCCAAACATGTTAAACTAAGGATTGGAGGAAAGATTCCTTTCAGGGCAGATTTTATTTTCCTTTAACCTCAGGAAAAATCTGAAATAATTTTGAAACTGGTAGTTAAAAATTTTAATACACCTCTTTGGTTTTTGATGGGTAAAGAAAGAAGTTTCAAGTACTATCTTTTGCGGGGTTGCTAAGGAAACCATTTGTGCCCTGGGTGATGAGTCAGAACTGTTAAGTGCTGGCTTAAAGAACAGAAATGATAGAAATCCAGAATGTTAAGTCTTTAAAATGATTTATGATGTTAATGCTTATGTTAATAACTCAGTGATTTCTCTGCAAAACTCCAGAATGGTCTTTGGAGTACATTTCATCTCTGGAGACGCTGATCTGTCAGTTTCAGATGTATACTTGACCTGTCTAGAGGAACGCACACACATGTGTTGCACACGCACACAAAGAGGAACGTGTGTATGCACAGAAACTAGAATAGTGATGAGGAAGCCTGGATAAGACGAGACCACACGGCTCATCACGCTGGGCACGTCTCTCGCCCTCTGAGGATGGTAAGTGGTTAAGGAAATATGTCAGCTTCCACTTTCCATCAATTCTCAAAGGTCCTCTTAAACTAAGCTTTTTAGTCACTTCAAACAGACTACAAATCATTTAACCGAGAACAGAGAGAACAGAAAACATCAAAGCGTGCACCCATTACCCTCTGGAGCGGCGGACTCTTCTCATGGGGCCACCCAGTACACTCCAGACAGGAACACCTTATGCTAAATGTGAAACATAATACCTTTGGGCCCAGCTCAGCCAACACCAGCTGCTGGCTCATTTGGGAGTGAGACGGCACGCTTTAGAGACAAGAAAGCAGAGCCTGAGATGGGCTTGAAGGAGCCTCCCAAGCTGACCATACCCACAAAAGGAGCAATGTCGTCTGAGTGATAATGTCAAGAAAGTATAGCTTGTGCATCGTAAGTAGATACAGTGGAAGAAAAGGAGCCTTGGGGGTGGGGAAAGGTTACTATAAACCCAGACTCAAGGGATGTGGCCGCAGGGACAGGACACTTGGAAAACACATGAATTAAATATTGATTTGGCTGGGTGATGGAGGGGAGGGGAGGGAGGGTCCGATGAGGAGTAGCTGGGAACCACCACTTCTTGAAGAAGTTTTGCCCTGTCTGGCCTCTCTCTGACTACTGTGCACCCCAAGCCCTGCCCGGTACCTTAAAATTCTTCTGGGATTCAGGGGTTGGGCTTTCCAGGTCAATGAGCTTCTTGAGATCCTCCTCAATGGTGGACTTGGAGGTTGGCTTTGGGGATGCCCGGAGGTCCCTGGTGGAGGCACGCAGCCTGGGGTGGGCTATTTCATTGCTGTCACTCTGATGACGCCTTCAAAGAAGGGAAAGAGAGGGGGGAAGTTAATTTGATGAGGTGGACTCAAGGGTGTGATGAGGTCTGGAAGAGATAAGTCAATGGAGACCTATTAGAAGAGAGAGAAGGAGAATTACTTCTGTTCAATTATATTAAGAATCAATTTGGATAAGTGCTTGTAAAGAGAAACAAGACCAGTTTGAAATACCAAATAAAAAGCCTGATGAATAAATCACTCTTTCACAGGAAATGATAAACTCCACAAGCCAAAATTAGCAACAGACTAACTAATAAAAAAGACCACAGGGGATGAATCCCAAATGCAATCTCTATAGAAACAAAAACAAGGTCATTGACTGGATCCTTTATTTTTTGCTGTACTATTTTGTCAAAAGTTCTTTATGTTCAGAGGTGGTCACTTATTTTCTAATAGTCCCTCCTGGGCCAGTTAGGAATTACACAGGAAGGCTGTGATTAATAGCATCAAAGGGACCCCAACAGTGTGGTCTTAACACCCAAGGGGCAATTATTCTGAAGTTTGTTCTTCAGACAGACTCTTTCCTAGGAGACTTTGTGATTCTCAAATCTGCAGGTTTTCAATACATCTTATTTAAGGAATGTGGCAGAGAAACAATGTAAGACATGTTTCACGTGGGAAGAAAAATAACTTCCCTAAGAAACCACCCTCTCCCCCGTCTGGAGCCCGGCCTCCTCTCTTGCAGGAAACTGCCTCAGGCTTTTCTGTTCACTGTCATGTGAAACGCAAAGCGCCCAGCAAGAGAAGCAACGGAGTCCTTACTTTCTCGTGTCCATAAATCCCACGGAGTTTATGGTTCCTTCGGGTTTCTTCCATCCAATCAGGTACTTGCTGGTAGCGCCCTGGCGGGGGTAGAAAGTCCGAGGACCAGAGGAGGAGGACGAAGAGGAGGAGAAGGAAGGAGTGAGCTGCGAGGGGGCGGCCGGGTGAAGTTCCTCCTTCGGTGAACTTCTGGCACTGGTGAAGACCACCGGGCTGGCAGAGTGTCTCGAGCTCATGGTACTAAGGAGAGGCAGGACAGAGAAAAAACGATGGGGGTTTGTGTGTGCCTCCTGGGGTCGGCCTGCCAGCCATAAAAGCATCGTCCAGGACAGGGGTTACGGCCCGGTTACAGAACAATGAGTGTTTCATAAAATATTAATGGGGCTGGATGGCCTTCCTTTGCCTTTTTGCTTCAATTTAAATGTCCGCTGTCAAAGTAAAACATGGTGAAGGGGGCTGCTTCTGCACTTTCAGTTGAAAAGTAAAAATAGTTAAGACTGTCAGGGACACTCTGAAGTACACCAGCACCGCTGAAGTGTGGTACAGAGAAGTCTTGCAGAGGCGTGTGTGTGCGTGTGTGTGTGTGTGTGTGTGCGTGTGTGTGTGTGTGTGTGCGTGTGTGTGTGTGAGTGTGTGTGTGTGTTAGGGTTAAAGTACACCAGCACCGCTGAAGTGTGGTACAGAGAAGTCTTGCAGAGGCGTGTGTGTGTGTGTGTGTGCGTGTGTGCGTGTGTGTGTGTGTGTGCGCGCGTGCGTGCACGTGGCGGCGGGGGAGTTGGCAATAAAAAGCCTGGCAGTATCAAGAGCTCTCCGTCCTCCCTTCCTCAGAACTCAGGGGCACAGTGACACTCCCCAGGCCCGAGCTCAAGAGGGGAGAGAAGACCAGCTCAGCCACGGAGCTCTGCTCATGCTCACGTCCAAGGCCAAAGGGGTACCCGGAGGTCTCCCTCCCCCCGGCAGCTGATAGTAACACTCTCTAAAACGCTGTTTATCAGGTTAGATGGTACCACCGCCTTACATCACACACACGCGTTAACTCAATGGATTAAAGACCTGAATGCAGGACCTGAAACAGTAAAACCCCTAGAAGAAAACATGGGCAGAAGCTCCCTGCCAGTCATTGTTTGGAATCTGACACAAAACGCAAAGGCAACAACAGCCAAACTAAAACAAGAGGGCCTACATCAAACCAAAAGGCTTCTGGGCAGCGACGGGAATCACCCACAGAGGGGAAAAGCAACCTGCTGGACAAGAGAAATATTTGCAAATCACGTATCTGATAAGGGGTTAATATCCAAAATATATGAAGAACTTATATAACTCAAGAACAGAAAAAGCAACCAATCTGAATTTTAAAAATGGGTAGAAAAATTTGAATAGACAGTTTTCCAAAGAAGACATACAGATGGCTGACAGGTATAGGAAAAGATGCTCAACGTTACTAACCATCAAGGAAATGCAAGCCTAAACTGTAATGAGAACTCACACCTGTTAGAATGGCTATTATCAGCAAGATAAGAAATAACAAGTATGAGCGAAGATCTGGAGAAAAGGGAACCCTTGTGCATTACATTGCTGTTGGCAGCAATGTAAAATGCTGCAGACACTCTGGAAAACAGTATGTAGGTTCCTCAAAAACTTAGAAAACCAAACTCCTAGAAACAGAGTAGGTGTCAAAGGTAGAGGCTGGAGAGTGGTGGGTGACATGGTTAAAGAAAGTTCAAAAGGTACAAACTTCTAGTTATAAGATAAATAAATCCTACGGATATAATAGTAGGCGTGATGAATAAAAATGAAAAACTGCTCATCATCAGTATATTTTAAACTTTGGTTAGAAGTTACAAAATTAAAGTTCTGAAGGACTCAAGGAGAAGACTGCTTATTGTAACTTCTAAAACTCAGGCAGGATCTTCAAAACTGGAGATGAAAAGTTTAAGGTGATGTCAGACCTGCTGCTGCTGCTGCTAAGTCGCTTCAGTCGTGTCTGACTCTGTGCGACCCCATAGATGGCAGCCCACCAGGCTCCCCCGTCCCTGGGATTCTCCAGGCAAGAATACTGGAGTGGATTGCCATTTCCTTCTCCAATGTGTGAAAGTGAAGTCGCTCAGTCGTGCCTGACTCTTTGTGACCCCATGGACTGTGGCCTACCAGGCTCCTCCGTCCCTGTGATTCTCCAGACAAGAGTACTGGAGTGGGGTGCCATTTCCTTCTCCAGATGTCAGACCTGGAGGGCCTCTGATTGCAGGATTTCCACAGTTCCTTCCTAGTGGTCTCATGGGACCTATGTTCATACCTCTTGAGCCCAGCTGAGTTCTCTAGCTTAGGCTGAGATCTAAGACAAGTCACTCCAGTGGAGCTGGTTACTGAAGGTTTAGTTAACAGGATGTGGTCTCAAAGCATTCCTCAATAGCACTCGCACTGGTCAAAACCTAATGGTCCTGCTCTGAGTAAAGCATGGACTGTAGTTAATAAAAATGCATTGACACTGACTCCTTAACTGTGACAAATGTTATGACAGTGATGTAAGATAATGAGAACAGGGGAAAATGAGCAAAGGGCACGTGGGAATTCTCTGGACTCTCTTTGCAACTTATCTGCAAATTAAAAATGACTCTAAAATAAAAAAAGTTCACTATAAAAACTAAGCAAAAAGCAAAACAAAATACAACAAAAAGTAAAACCCAATGGTCCAGAGATTATATATATAAAGTGTGTGCATACACACACATACACACATATTTTCATATATGTACACACACACATATATGAAAATGAATCCTGAACTTCACCTCAAAACTTGCATAAAAATCAATTCCAATTGGACTTATATTTAAATGTATGTTTAAAGATTCTAGACTGTAACATGAAAGAATATCCTTATGACAGAGGTTTCTTTAACAGGATCATAAACAAAATGATTGAAACTCATTAAAATTAAGAACTTCTATTCATCCAAAGACACAGAGCAGGAGAATATACATAAAACATATATCCAACAGTGGGCTCTTATCCATACATAATTAACTCCTAAAAATTAGCGAGAGAGACAACCCAACAGAGAAATGGGCAGAGATCTGAAAAGGAATTTCACAAAAGAGGATATCTAAAAGCCATTAAAGATGGACACTCAACATCATCAGTTATCAGGAAAATGCAAATTAACTCCACAAAGAGGGACTACTACACAATAGAGTGGCTAAAATTAAAAAGTATCAAATGCTAGAAAGGATGTGAAGCAACCAAAACTCTCACACACTGCAGGAGCATACTGGCTACAACCACTTTGGCAAACCAGTTCAGTCTCTGCTGAAGTTGAATATATGTAAATCCTACGCTAGCCATTCCACTCCTAGGTATATACTGAAAAGAAGTACATACATATATGTATCAGAGGACATGTACAAGAACCTGTAATATCCTCAACACAGAAATACTCCCAATGCTGAATAACAGAATGGATAAACTAACTGGTGTGTTCTCACAATGGATATATAATACAGCAATGAAAATAAACGGACGCTACTTGCAACACAGATGAATCTCACCAACATAATGTGGACTTAAAGACACCAGATGCAGAATAATACATATGGGATGATTCCACTGACATGAAGCGCCCAGACAGGCATAGTGAGTGTGTGACTTCAGGATTCAGGATAGTGTTCAGCTGGGGAGGAAGGGGAGGTGTTGGGGAGGGGGACGTGTGGGAGGAAGGGTGTCTGGCTGCTGGGCAAGTTCCAGCTAGTCCTTGATCTGGGTAGTGATGACATGGGTAAGTGCACTTTGCGAAAACCCACCCTGATGTACACGGATGATCTGTGCCTTTTCCTGTATGTCGGTTACACTTTAATGAAAACACGTCCACAAAAACAAAGCAAAAATAGATGACCTGGAAGGAGAAGCCTGAATCAGTCCCTGAGGCTCTGCAACAGACTCAAAGAGAGCAGGACAAAGTTGGGGTGGGGTGGGGGGAGGAACAGGACATAGGGCAAAGGTGATCTCAAGGGTTTTCCACACTAACTGGGCCTTGAAACGTCAGACTAAACATAACCATCTCCTTTATTTCTGCAACTGAAAAGGAGGAACCAGGTTCAAACTACAAAAAATATCATCTTAAAAACGAGTAATGAAGGGGACTTCCTTGGTAGTCCTGTGGTCAGGACGCTGCCTTCTAGTGAAGGGGGCGTGGGTTCAATTCCCGGTCAGGAAGCTGAGGTCCTAAATACTTCTCGGCCAAAAAACCAAAACATGAAACAGAAGCAATACTGTAGCTAATTTAATAGAGACTTAAAAACAAAAGCCTAGCCATACTCTCATTATCCCTCTAACAATTTTTCCCCAGAGATTTTTCTATTTAGGGAGAAGGGGAACGAGAAGACCCTTCACAAAACCTCCAAGGGCAACATAACTTTAAAAGCAATGCAATCTCATTTAGTTTTTACCTCTTGATAAGATACTCCATTTGTCTGCTTTAAGAGTTAAGGAAATGCAGAACTCCTCCACAAGTGCAGTATATTAAGCCAGTAAGAACGAAATAATAAAAGTAGGATTCTGTTATGGAAAAGAGACAAAGTGGAAAGATGAAACAAGGGGATGGTGAAAGACAGAAAAAGATATAGGCAGGCAAACCCATAGATAATAACACCAGAAATCTAGGTTAACCGCAAATGCATTATCCACACAGGGAGCATCAACCCAGAGAAGTTTCTGAAATAGGATGGGAACACAGCCTTTGGGGAACTTTAAAATCACGTGAGAGGTGTGCCACTACTTGTGAGTTACATAGCGACAAGACTTAATCTTTGGTTAGCAGATTTCTTTCACCTGACTATGACAGTGAAAGCAAAAGTCGCTCAGTCGTGTCTGACTCTTTGCGACCCCAAGGACTATACAGTCCATGGAATTCTCCAGGCCAGAATACTGGAATACTTTCTCTTCTCCAGGGGATCTTCCCAATCTAGGGATCTAACCCAGGTCTCCCGCATTGCAGGCGGATTCTTTACCAGCTGAGCCACAAGGGAAGTCTAACTTCATATACACCTGACTATACCCACCTCATATACATTCACAACCCAGATGTGGAGATGTCTCAAGCCTCAACCCTGCTTAGTGTCTGAAGCATATTCCAGAAAAGTGCAAAACCATAAAATCAGGATCTAGTGCACTCACCTTGGATAACCATGCACTTGCTTCACCTGCTTTGATCAATATCCACCAGTGAGTGACATGTGTTTGAATGA